TATATATATATATATATATATATATATATATATATATATATATATATATATATATATATATATATATATATATATATATATATATATATATATATATATATATATATATATATATATATATATATATATATATATATATATATATATATATATATATATATATATATATATATATATATATATATATATATATATATATATATATAGATATATATATATATATATGCTTGTATTTCTGGTACGTCTTGACTTTGCTTTCATATTGTGCATCATTTATTTAAACATGCTTGTATTGATAATTCTGCACATAATCGGATGCTATTTATATCTCTTTTCCTTACGTTATGCTAATAAGTTGAAGAGGTACCAGCAAGGGCCTGTTTGGTTTGAAAACATGTTTTCTGTTATCTTTTTTATGTTTTCCTGTTTATTACACTTCACAAAAATGCCACCTTGATTTCACAATTAAATTGATTTACTGATATCAAGATCTATATGGGAATGGGAATAATCAAGGTGGCATTTTTTGTGGGTAAAAGACCATGAAATGAAAACCAATTTGTTTTTCAACCTAAATTGGCGCTAACATGTTATATGACAGTTTGACTTCAGAAAGCTTTCAGTTTCATTTTGATGTTGTGTTTGGTTTATTTGTAATTTATAATTAAAACATAATGTCAAGCTTGAAACAGAAATATTGTATTCTGTAAGTTAATTTCTCAGCTCAACTATAAGATATCAATATATATGCTATTGATGGATAATCTGCTGCTAATTGTATAGCTTAAAGATTGTTTGTTTTTTGAAAGGTGAACAACTATGTATGTTGTTAAAATATAGTAATATTAAGTTTATGGCAGATAAGAGTCATAGAGCGGAACTGTGAAATTCCTCATGAGGGGCCATTTTGTGATCTAATGTGGAGTGATCCTGAGGATATTGAAACATGGGCAGTCAGTCCGCGTGGAGCTGGTTGGCTTTTTGGATCTCGGGTTACATCTGAGGTAATGTAATGAATTGTCAATTGCTTATTGAATTGAACATTATATGTGGGGTTTTCAGACTCGTTCTTTTCATGCAGTTCAATCACATAAACAACCTTGATCTTGTTTGTCGAGCACATCAACTTGTACAAGAAGGCCTTAAATACATGTTCCAAGATAAAGGCCTTGTAACTGTAAGTATCTGAATCTTTAAGTGACTGATTTTTCTCTTTTGATTTACTGGTCTTTTGAGGTGGTTTGGTTGATCATGTGAAAAGATCTATAGAAGCTCTAGGCTGAAATAGTCCAATTACGAGTAAAGGGAACTCACAGGGGGTGTTTCAAGTAAAGCATGCTTGAGCTGTAGTGTTTGGTAGCTCTGCAATATCTTGTGTTCAAACTTCAAAGCTGCCTATGGCACTTATTGAAGCAGTGTCAAAGACACAGTTATTGATTGTTGGGGGGAGTATTGTGGAGCAGAACCAGTCTACTACAGCTCCGTTTTTGAGTATTTTGTTGTAGCTGGACTTGTGGTTGCTATCCCTCAATCTTATTCCATACATGTTGATATAGTTATATATTAATCAATCATATCTCAACACAAGTCTTAAGAGTGAATAATACACCCTCACTTGCTCGATCTACAGACAAAGTAACATGAGAAGAGCCTTTTCCAATGATTAATCCATTTAGCTGACCACACCTTCCGGGATAACTTGCTTGGTAGCTTTTGCATTTAATTATCTTCATAGATTCCATCTTTGTTTGAAAATCAAAATAGTGAGGTAAAAAAAGTAATTATTTTTTAAATTTGCAGGTATGGTCTGCACCTAATTACTGCTACCGTTGTGGAAATGTAGCTTCTATTCTTAGTTTCAATGAAAATATGGTGAGTAACCCAGAGCTTTTTTATTTTAAAGTATATTTTCAGGACCATCTTTATTGTTGCATCATTTGGTCTCATGATGTATGTGGTGGTGCCTTTGTTTTTCGCATATCTCGTATGGGAAAAAGTTTTAACTTCATGCTGTCTTTCTTTATATCATCCATTAGTGTTTTTTCTTGTATGGCCTTAATATTAAGGAAATCGAGAGATAGAAGATAATATGTCTCCTTACTCCTATAGTTGTTGGAAGTAAGGCATTTATTCTTAAAATTTAGAGGGTGCTATTCAGCAAAAAATGACTTCTTGAGGAATAGTGGCGAGTCCAATACAGTGGAACACATGTATCTATAATGTCAGTCACATATGAGGTGTCAAGGAATGTACTTTTGAATGACTATTAACAGTATTTATCAAGGACTGGTGGAATCAGCAATTTGAATGCTTCACATAATTTCTTCTTGGTTCAAAATGACAGCTTTAATATTAGAGAATGTTCTTTTATAATTGGATGGTGTGAAAGGGAGATCATTGGGGAGGAATAGGGTTTGATTATCAGGTGTGAAAGGGAGATCATTGGGGAGGAAAAGAAGAAGGGAATACATTACCCGTATTTCTCCCTCAAGCTGCTTATTGCTAAGATCAGTCTGACACATGCATGTTATGAGGTGGCAGCTGGAAGGTGTTTCTCATACCTAGGATAAGCAGTTCTCCTGATTACAAATTGAAGTTGTGGTGTCACAATTTTTAACTTACGGGGTCCTGGGGTTGTGTTGCACATGGGTTTTTGTGTGGATTTAATAGCCAAGTTAGACATGGCGTTACACTTTGAACAAACTAGAATCTTAAAATTCCAACAAAACCATATTCAAATATCAATAAACTTACATAGGAAGTTACACAATTTCTTGTAGATGCTGTTGAAATTTTAGGGATTAGATGGAAAAGGAAAGAAATGAGATGAAGAGGGACCTATACATGAAAATTTATTTCAGAATGCTGATGCGGCTATAACTATTTGTGATATAAATTATAATGTGTATAAAACAGACTAATTTTTTGATGCCTTTGACTTAACGAACCTAGTGTGTTTGATTTGCTGATAAATGAAGGATTGGACTGTATATACCAGTTCTATTGATCTTAAAAATATTCACGGAATAAAATAAAAAAGAAAATAAAGCATCAGCCAAAAATAATAATTTTGGAGGTAAAAAATCCTAAAATTAGTAGTTAATATATGGAATGATTTTTTGTCCCACATACAAACATGATCCAAAGTAAAATCATATCCAATATTTTTCTTCTTTTTGATAACTCTTTCTCAGCCCTCCTCTTCCTCATTGCTCCTCCCTAATCCTTTCTCGCCCCTTTTCTCACTGAAACTACTTTTGCTCTGCATCCATCACCAAATAGTCGACAGAATGAAAAATCTATAATGCAATTCAGCTACTTGTACTGGAATATTTTGCATATGCTGTATCTCAATGTGCATCACAATCTTGAACTCTTTATTTTGGTTGCACTACAAGTCACAACAAAAAAATTTCCTATTAATCAGCACATTCCCTCGGTTGAAGTAACTCAGCTTGTTATTATATAATATATACATCTAAACATAAGAAGCATAAAAATATTTGTGAATTAGCAAGCTTCACAAATTGTAACTTCATTAAGATTCACAGATGTATAGCAACACTGCGGGAAAGTGATTAGAATGGCTCATATCTGAAGGAAAAGCTTGCTTAAATGATATAGGGTCAAGGCTAGAGAATTGTAAAAGAACATGCAACTAGGGTAGGGAGTGACTGCTGGAATTTGATGAAAAGAGATTCCCTGTTTGTAGAGCCAGTCATCCAGCCCAAATACCACTAATGAATGTCAAATAATTATTTTCCTTTTGAAATAAACATTACAATTATGTAACAATTGAAAAATGGAGAACCAACGATGCTGGAAAAAGGTGTTTAGCACACTAGAAACTATAATAGGACAGAAATGAATCGCTCAGACTGGAAAGTGACACGATTGATCACTGTCGATCTATGGGAATGTTTTCGGCTATAAGCTTCTGGTTTCCCAATGATAAGATTTTCTTAATTCTGATGGCAGGATCTATTTGGCTACATGATAGTCTGGGATGAGTGGAATAGAGGTGACTGTTTTAGTAGGATTTTTGGGCAATTGAGTGGTTGAACATCAGCAGGGTTAGGCAACAGAAAACTTGAAAAAGCATCTTTGTGTACTCCCTGGGCAAGACGGGGATGCAGCCTTCTCAAGGTAATGCAGAAACGGGCATTGTAACAATGTATGAAGAAGCCAGCAGGATAGAAATAGTGGCCATCAAATGTATTCCAGATTTTGGAGACTTGCTGCAGAAATTGAAGCAGAGGTCATGTGGGATGTGTGAAAAGTTGGAAGAAATATTGAAGCAACATGAACATATATTTGTCTTACAAGACTGAGTAATTGTAATGCCGCGACCCTTGATTTATTTACACAAATTTTTGACTTAGACAAGAAAATGATTCCCCTTATTTTGGTTTGCTCTGTAAGTAGCATTGACCTCAACGTTATTGTAGCTTGGTTTGTATTTTTGGTATCAAACTCTGTAAATAAATACTTGCAATTGCAGTCTTAACCACCTTTCACTACTAGGGGTATCTATGTGTCAGGTTGCACAGCTGCTTTTTGAGTTGGGCTGTATGTCGGTTCAAGCCAATAATTAAATAAAGTTACTTCATAAAATGGAAGGGGTCAACAAATACACTTCCTTAGTTATAAAAGCATAGTTTTGATATTTTTAACATTTGCAAGTTTTGGTGTTGGTGATAGTTGGCCTAGGGTGGTACATGCCTCGGGCGACAAAGCTGAATTTGTTCATAGAACATTGTCTTAAATCCTGTATCCCGACTATTTATTTGATTTGATCTTTAGGTGGTAAATGTACATAATTCACTGTCAGGCCTAATGAAATTACTGTCTTGCAATGTGAATGCTTGAGTGTTGCAACTTATGTCGGTGAAGGAAATGCTTAGAAAATAATATATGCGACCTGGTAAACTTGGATTTTTATGATGGTCATAGTGCTTACATGTTTCCAGCATTTTGGTTATTGACCCTTGCATCTTTTCTTGTAACAGGAGAGAGAAGTTAAGTTTTTCACTGAAACAGAGGAGAACAATCAGATGAGAGGGCCAAGGACAGGTGTTCCGTATTTCTTATAATTTGGTATTTGACTGAATTTATTGTAAAATTATTTAGTAAATGGTTTACTATTATGATTGGATAGTGCTAGTCCTGTATCGTTGAGATTCAAATGCACTGGTTTTTCTTAGGTGAACCCTATTTTTGTTTAGTATTTTTGTCTACTTCCACCAAATATTTTACATTCTAGTTTCACAATCCATTGTATAATGTTTAGTACAATATTTGAAAGTGTATTCATTAGCCCTCAGGACTAAAAATGAAAAAAGTACAGTGTTACGCTCAAGTTGTTATTTATACGTTGGAGGCCATAAAAAAACTAGCATATGTGCTTTTCAACTTGAAGTGGGACTAGTTTCAGCACCATTCATTGATATAGTGTATAAATGAGATTTGCAGGAATGTGTCAAAAATGGATTTTCATAAAATAAACTGAAACCACAGAAGGGAGTATACAGTCCTATGTTAAGGTCGTATGGTGTCCCATCTTAGGTTTTTTTGACCACTTTTGAAATTGTTTGCTGATAAATCATTCATTAATAATGGTCTCTGTAAGCGCTGTGTCCTCACTCTTGTTATTGCTAAGAAAAATTGTCTCACATTACAAAAAAGTTATCATCAGGCAAGAATGAAAAAATTATTTTTATAAACAAATAAACGTTAGACTTTCATACTTTAGTTGTTTCAACGCAATCACAGTAATCTGTTTCTGTTCTTAATTCTTTTTGGTTGTTACAAATCAATCACAGTAATCCGTTTCTCTTCTTAATTGACCCCAATAATGCTGAAAGAATGAACAGAGTGGACTATAACAAGGCCAATTTCAAGGGCATGACATATATCAAACTGAGGAGATGGAAAGACATTTTGTCATAGTATGTGTTTTGGAGTGGATCAAGGCTCAATCCGAAATAGACCCGAGTTGTCCAAGTCAAGAAATAGAGAACGTTTTTTTTAAACTGCCAGCAGTGTAATATTTAAGTCTTTGACTTGTTGCTACATAAATAAAAATTTAAGTGCCACTTTGCATTGAATGAAAAAAAATTAAAGGGTATATTACTACTTTTCCAGGAAAAATATATAAAGGATAGAAGGAAGATATATTTCTACAATTATTTAATGAAGGGTATTATACCTCACTAGATTCTATTAATTTAGAGAAGAAGATCAAAACTATAATTATTACTTTCGGGTTGAGAAATAAGAGGTAAAGAAAGCATTGAAAATGATGAGTACCAATAAGGCGGTGTAGCAAACAATATACCTATTGAAGTGTGGAAAATTCTTGAAGATAAAGGTATTGCGCGACTTATCAAACTCTTTAATGAAATTATGAGCTTAAAGAAAATATTGGAAGAATGAAGAAGAAACACTCTCGTTTCAATATATAAGAACGAGAGATATATATAAAGTTGTGTAATTTATAAGAGATTAAACTTATGAGTCATATCATGAAATTACAGAAAAGAGTAATCGAAGGTTATGAAAAGAGATTCAAGTTATTGAGAATTAATTTGGTTTTATGCTTGAAAGATTCATCATGAAAGCGATCTATCTACTACGACGTGTGATGGAGCCGTATCAAATAGATCAATAAGACTTGCATTTAATTTTTATTGATTTGGAGAAGGCGTATGATAAAGCTTCTAGAGAGGTTTTGTGAAAAACCCTAGAAAAAAAGGAGTTAGAATCACATATATTCAAACTATTCAAGATATATTTCAAAGGGATATCGATTACCGACACATGATAGAGAGACATATAATTTCTCTATTATTATAGATTTGCACATATTAACATCTAAATATTTAATGTGTGGTATTACAATGGTGCTTGAGGCAACTTTCTCAAGTACCACACCTTCAAGATTCTTGGTCACATATGACTATACAACCTCTAATGATTGGAATGTCATTATCATTGACAATGTATGTGATTGATTTTTCTTTAATAAGATACTTAGAAGCATGTATTTATAAGTGACATTTAGTATGGACCAATAACGTTTGGTCCAGTTTATTTTAAGACAATTTCTTTTCCTATTTTTGTATGTTTTTCTAAATTCTTAGAGAAAAGTAAAAAATGCCTTATAAATTTAGAGATGTATCTTTGAACGCACCATTTTCAAACAAAATAAATATTGATTGTTAATCATCTTTCACTTTGTCAAAATTTAATTTGGAGATGCATTTCCGATGTGTTTTAGGGTTTGTTCGCAGACGCATCTCCGAATTAACTCTTGTTTTCAAACTAAGAGAAATTTCCGGAGATCATCTCGCGTCAGACCCTCCATCTCCTCCTTTTTCATTTTCTGAAATTTCTTTTCTCCATTGGAGCTCGTGAGCAACCTTGTTTCAGTCAATTTTTGAAGCAACAAGAGAACCTTTACTTCAATCATAGCAATCCCAACTCACTCCACAATCTACATTGAACATTATTCATCCTTATCAAACACTTATTTGAGTAAGTTTTTCATTTAATTTATTTTGATTTTTTGCTTAATGTATTAGGTAAAATAGTTTACTTTCAATGCATTACGTAGTATTAGAATTTGAAATAGGTAATGTTACAAATATGCACTACGATTTTGATGCATTTTGGATTGTTAGGGTAAGAATATGAACTGATTCTTCCATTGAAGCAAAAGACGAAGCTTTTTCAGAGATGCATCTCCGAAACTGGTCCTTTTTGGTTTTCAGAGATGCATCTTTGAATTTGGTCATTCCTGTTATAAAACTTATAAAATTTCAAACTAATGTCTTTGGTCAATTTTCCCCAGGAGAATGTTTGAAAAATACAACAAAATGAGACTCGATCGAGAAATCATAACCACATCCGCTCGCCACGAAAGGGCTCTTCAACATGAGCAAGCCAAAGTTATGCAGTTCCCCGCTCCTAGGCCTTATGACGGGGAAACATCTTCTTCCAGGAGTCTCCTATCACATGAGTCCTCATCACAAGCTTACATACATCAGGAAAAAGCCCCTGCTACACGTGATGACCTCACTCCACCTGTAGACCCTTATCCAATAAGGTCTATTGATATCTCATTACTAATATATTATGGAAATCACGTTTCTTCACATGTCTGGGACGAAGAGGTATATTCGTTAACGATTGCTATTTTTCTATTTTAACTAAATTTATTGCGATTGATTTTGTTATATGTTCTTTTTTAACAGGAACACGATTGTTTAAAATTTGTTAATCATTCCAGAAAGATTCACAATCTTTTTTAGCCTAAGGATGAGTGGTTTCAAAGTGTCATCAGATACTCCGGTCTTGCCGACATGTGTTTTTCTGGGTACGTAACCATCAACCATGTCATGAATGGGGTATTTGCAGCGAGATGATATAAAGAAATATCATCTTTCCACTTATCCATTGGAGATATGATGATTGTACTAGATATTGTCGCTTTCCTTCTACACCTCCCATCAGGGGGAGTTACTTTATCATTCTAGGATCAAACATGTTTATGTCTAGGAGATGATGATGATTTATTTGGGAGCTGCTCCAATAGAAGTCCTGCTGTAGTGTGACAAAACCAGAGGTGCTCATGCAAAATTTTCATTCTTGAAGGAGCTTCATGAACAAAACTTGGTGTTTGCCGAGGAAGCCGATGACGATGAATTACAGGTTACCTACCAACGAGAGTGTGCTCTGAGGTGTTTCTTCCTATTCTTGGTTGACACGTTCATGTTTGTGGACAAAAGTGAAACCTATGTAAATGTGATATACCTTAAGTATTTCATCAACTTGGAGGCAAATCATGAGTGGAATTGGGGGGCCGCATTCTTGGTATACTTGTACTCCAAGTTGAGCGAATATTCTCTTCGGACGACAAAGCAAATGACATGATCTTGCACCCTGCTGACGATAATTTCCATAACTGCTATTAATTCTAAAAGCACTTTTTAGACTTGTTACTAATGTTTTTTTCTTATTCATTTTCAAGGATAAATTCTATCTCACTTTCACCAAATACACAGGTTTGAACGTAGGGTATACTGAGGGATATCACTCTAGATGGATGACATGTGAGAATAATTTGATGTAAAGTATCTTTCAGAGTGATACATGCACCCGTTTGGATTTGTGTATATCATTACGAGATCTCCCTTGGTGGCCGCAGAGATCTTGACATACTGGCAAATTATGAGAGTTATCTGGTACCAGAGGAGTATCAAAGTATGGCAGCCACAAGTTAGTAGTATTATGCTAAGGGTTGCATTACTTGGTTCTATTCTGTGTCACACCCTGTCATAACAACAGACACTCCTATACATCTAGGTCTTCTCATAAGGAGATCCTGAAGAATGAGCAGGTCAGGAATGACCATGTCGTTGATGTGTTACCGATATGTCAAAATATTATGCGGTATATGAGAGAGGACATAAAGTCCGGGCTTGTTGAGAGAGGTGGTGAGGATGCGATTGCGCTAGCATGTTCTATTCTTACTAAGACACATAATACCTTGGGTTACTGGCGACAGAGGAGGACCCGATGGGTTAGGATTAAGCATACACGATAGGTTATTCCTTTTATGTATTTTCTAATGTTTTACCAGTACTTTCTAAAATTTGAGAATTATGTTTGTAATATTATGACATTTTTTAATTATTAAGGCATTACCATATTTTGAGATTTTAATGATTGAATTAAATTATGAATTATGACACTGTTAGTCAGATTAAAGTGACTTTAGTTTAAAAATAAATAAATTTAGATAATGTTTCTGCCCACAATGAATGCATTGAAGTTTTCGAATATCTATATTTGAAAACTGCTATTTCGAAAATACATCTCCGAATACATCACAAAAATATTTACAGATGCAACTTCAAATCAAATTTTAACAAAAATAATTTATGATGTGTTCGAAGATAGATCTCCAAAAATATCTAAAATTAGTTTTGAATTTTCAGAGATACACTTCACAACACAAGGGTGAAGAAAAAAATTGTCTTTTTAATGTCATTAATTTAATATAATATATTATGAATAATTGGGTGAAAGA